TTCATTTTTCTCTCTGAAAAATTATTTCTCTTTTCATTGTCACCCAAAAAAGTACAAAAATGCCCAAAGAAAAACAGAATCCTCCATGAAGTTTCTGGGTTATCTCTTAGTGGGCTCAGAGGTGCAGAGAGCTGCCCAAAGTCACACAGCTTGGACACAGCAGGGCCAGAATTCAAAGCCATGACCACCCACCGTGGGAGGAAGGTGAACAGGGCTTGACAACCACCGGGTCTAGGACTGGCCGTGCAGCCTCGGGCAAGGCCTTCTCTTCTCTGTGCCTGTTTACTCATCTGAAGACTGGGGCTAACCAGTGCAAAGTAGGCAGTGAGCAAGTAAGTGGTGTGCCCACAGCTTTAGCAGGGCACATAGGCACCAGACAGGCTGCATTTCTTAGCTTCCTGTGCAGCTAGTGGTGTGGCCATTTGACTACATTGCAGCACATAAGTGTTGGTTTCCAGAGAAGATCTCTAAAGGATGGGTGGGCCTTTCTCCTTCCCCTTGTCTCCTCGTTGATGGCTGGGGTGTGAAGGATAGATGGAGCATCAGCAGCCCTCTTGTGTCATGAGGTGATGCTGAAAGCAACAAGATAGAAGCTGTTCTCCAACACTGAGACACCAACTCCAGACTTTGACATGAGAGAGGCATGACATGAATTCATGGTCAAAAAGTCAACATTATTTGGAATTTTTCTGCCATCTATTCTGCAACAAACTGTAATTAGACACACTGATGTTGTTGTTTAGTCACTAAGTCATGCCTGACTCTTTTGCAACCCCACGGACTGTAGCTCGCCAGGTTCCTCTGTCCATGGGATTTCCCAGGCAAGAATACTGGAGTGGGTTGCCATTTCCTTCTCCAGGGGAACTTCCTGACCCAGGGATCGAACCCAAGTCTCCTGCATTGGTAGGTGGATTCTCAACCAGTGGGCCACCAAGGAAGCCATCAGACACATATTTTCTCCTGTTCAAATTCCACATATACTTCTCCCATCCTCCCCTGTCCCCCACAAAGGGACTCTTTTTTACACTGGCCTCAGTCTGAATACTATGAAATCAAGTGTTTGTGAACTGATTTTCTGTAAACATTAGAATAAATCTAAATCTATTAAATGAAGTCAAAATCATTCACACACAAAAATGTATATATATTTTTTCTTTTTTTGGCTGTACCATATGGCATGTGGCTTCCCAGGTAAAGATGCAGGTTCTTTCTCTGCGTTGGGAAGATCCCCTGGAGGAAGAAATAGCAACCCACTCCAGTATTCTTGCCTGGAAACTTTCATGGACGGGGAAGCCTCAGTCCACAGGGTTGCAAAAAGTTGGACACAACTGAGTGACTTAGCACCCACACACACGTGGCATGTGGGATCTTCGTTCCCTTACCAGGAATCGAACCCATGCCCCCTGCATTGAAAGCTCTGAGTCTTTTTTGTTTTGTTTTGTTTTCATTTATTTTTATTAGTTAGAGGCTAATTACTTTACAATATTGTAGTGGGTTTTGTCATACATTGACATGAATCAGCCATGGTTTTACATGTACTCCCCATCCCGATCCCCCCTCCCACCTCCCTCTCTACCCGTTCCCTCTGGGTCTTCCCAGTGCACCAGGCCCAAGCACTTGTCTCATGCATCCTACCTGGGCTGGTGATCTGTTTCACTATAGATAATATTCATGTTTGGATGCTGTTCTCTCGAAACATCCCACCCTCGCCTTCTCCCAGAGTCCACAAGTCTGTTCTGTACATCTGTGTCTCTTTTTCTGTTTTGCATATAGGGTTATCATTACCATCTTCCTAAATCCCATATATATATGTGTTAGTATGCTGTAATGTTCTTTATCTTTCTGGCTTACTTCGCTCTGTATAATGGGCTCCAGTTTCATCCATCTCATTAGAACTGATTCAAATGAATTCTTTTTAATGGCTGAGTAATATTCCATGGTGTATATGTACCACAGCTTCCTTATCCATTCGTCTGCTGATGGGCATCTAGGTTGCTTCCATGTCCTGGCTATTGCAAACAGTGCTGTGATGAACATTGGGGTGCACGTGTCTCTTTCAGATCTGGTTTCCTCGGTGTGTATGCCCAGAAGTGGGATTGCTGGGTCATATGGCAGTTCTATTTCCAGTTTTTTAAGGAATCTCCACACTGTTCTCCATAGCAGCTGTACTAGTTTGCATTCCCACCAACAGTGTAAGAGGGTTCCCTTTTCTCCACACCCTCTCCAGCATTTATTGCTTGTAGACTTTTGGATAGCAGCCACCCTGACTGGCATGTAATGGTACCTCATTGTGGTTCTGATTTGCATTTCTCTGATAATGAGTGATGTTGAGCATCTTTTCATGTGTTTGTTAGCCATCTGTATGTCTTCTTTGGAGAAATGTCTGTTTAGTTCTTTGGCCCATTTTTTGATTGGGTCATTTATTTTTCTGGAGTTGAGCTGGAGGAGTTGCTTGTATATTTTTGAGATTAATCCTTTGTCTGTTGCTTCGTTTGCTATTATTTTCTCCCAATCTGAGGGCTGTCTTTTCACCTTGATTATAGTTTCCTTTGTTGTGCAAAAGCTTTTAAGTTTCATTAGGTCCCATTTGTTTATTTTTGCTTTTGTTTCTAAAATTCTGGGAGGTGGGTCATAGAGGATCCTGCTGTGATTTATGTCAGAGAGTGTTTTGCCTATGTTCTCCTCTAGGAGTTTTATAGTTTCTGGTCTTACATTTAGATCTTTAATCAATTTTGAGTTTATTTTTGTGTATGGTGTTAGAAAGTGTTCTAGTTTCATTCTTTTACAAGTGGTTGACCAGTTTTCCCAGCACCACTTGTTAAAGAGGTTGTCTTTTTTCCATTGTATATCCTTGCCTCCTTTGTCGAAGATAAGGTGTCCATAGGTTCGTGGATTTATCTCTGGGCTTTCTATTCTGTTCCATTGATCTATATTTCTGTCTTTGTGCTAATACCATACTGTCTTGATGACTGTGGCTTTGTAGTATAGTCTGAAGTCAGGCAGGTTGATTCCTCCAGTTCCATTCTTCTTTCTCAAGATTACTTTGGCTATTCAAGGTTTTTTGTATTTCCATCCTAATTGTGAAATTATTTGCTCTAGTTCTGTGAAAAATACCGTTGGTAGCTTGAGAGGGATTGCTTTGGGTACTATAGCCATTTTGACAATATTGAATCTTCCAATCCATGAACACGGTATGTTTCTCCATCTGTTTGTGTCCTCTTTGATTTCTTTCATCAGTGTTTTATAGTTTTCTATGTATAGGTCTTTTGTTTCTTTAGGTAGATATACTCCTAAGTATTTTATTCTTTTTGTTGCAATCATGAATGGTATTGTTTCCTTAATTTCTCTTTCTGTTTTCTCATTGTTAGTGTATAGGAATGCAAGGGATTTCTGTGTGTTAATTTTATATCCTGCAACTTTACTATATTTGTTGATTAGCTCTAGTAATTTTCTGGTAGAGTCTTTAGGGTTTTCTATGTAGTGGACCATGTCATCTGCAAACAGCGAGAGCTTCACTTCTTCTTTTCCTATCTAGATTCCTTTTACCTTTTTTTCTGCTCTGATTGCTGTGGCCAACACTTCCAAAACTATGTTGAATAGTAGTGGTGAGAGTGGGCACCCTTGTCTTGTTCCAGATTTCAGGGGAAATGCTTTCAATTTTTCACCATTGAGGGTAATGCTTGCTGTGGGTTTGTCATATATAGCTTTTATTATGTTGAGGTATGTTCCTTCTTTTTTTTTTTTTTTGGAAGGACTGGTTCTTTATTTCAAAAAGACATTTATCAATTTTCAGTATCAAAACAGTTACACTATTGGTTTTTTTTCTCCCAGTTGGTCCGCAAAGAGACCACACCAAAGGAGAGAACATTTTAAGCCAATTAAGCTGCAGGATGCACACCTAACAGACCTCACTGAAACCTCATCAAAAAAGGGGGACTGGGTAGGGAAAGAAACTTCAAAAGATCAGCACACTGCTAGCCCACAGACTGTAGAGAGCTCTCACAGACAGAGGGGTGACCAGTGTGCCTCAACCCCAAAGAAGCAAAGTTCCAAAATAATATAAAATTTAAAAAGTTTTGTACATAAGCTTTTCAAGATTTCTCCAGCACTAACCGATACAAAGCACAATGAGATGGCACTTTTGGAGACAGCAGCTTCAGACCCAGAAAAGGGTGATGAGATGAATTTCATATGGCTAAATCAGTGGCAAAACATAATTTTCTTTCCTTTCAAGGAGGCAGGAGAGCAATTAAGTGGTCACTTCAACATAAAGGGCACATGATCCATTCTGTGAGCAGTTGGGAACAGGGTAGAGCTGGGACAAGGATTTGGTCTCAGAGGTTTCACCATCTTAATTGTTTGGTCACTTCTGATGAAAAAAGAAAAAAGAAAGTTGTCCAAAGATACCGTAAAGCTGAAAACCTGAACAGCACTTTTTTTTTTTTTGGCTAACTCCTCCTGGAATGGCGGGTACTTTTTACAGAGCAATGAAGTTTCCCCAAATGGAGCCTTTCTCTGGGCTGCTAGGCTCTCAGTAAGGCAGGCCCAAACCTTTTCCCTTTCTCTCTGGAGAAGGCAATATGCATTAAGCTGAAACGTTACCTTCCAAAAAGTGAGAAAGGGATTAGACTGCTGCTTCGGAAGTACGGAATTATTTAGAATGTTTTTTACAAATGGTTGTTACATCAACAACAAAAAAGGTAATTACAAAATGTGTACATCACAACATGCTTTTAAAGACACTTTGCATTGTGCTCACATTCCGTTAAACGTTGTTCCCAAAGGTGCTCAGCCTCTAGCCCAACTGGAATCTCTGGGGAGAGGCAGAGACAGTTTGGCGAAAAGGACACAGGAGTAAGAGGGTGGGAGAGGTGGCGAAAGGAGAAAGCAGCCTTCCAGTTAAAGATCAGCCCTCAGTTTAAAGGTCAGCTTCGGGCAGGCTGGCCTCAGCGGAGTCGAGGTGAGAGGGAGGAGCAGCGGCAGGGCGGGACTGGGGTGTTCTACATCTCATTCAGGTCAAGCAGAGTCTGGTCCAGCATCCTTTGTGTACAGAGGTGCTCCTCTTTGGTGCATTTCAGTTTATCTTCCAAATCATCAATTGTCTTTTCCAGCTTGGCTACTGATCTCTCAGCAAACTCAGCACGTGTCTCTGCCTCCTTGAGTTTATCGGTAAGAATCTTTATCTCTTCCTCATATTTGTCTTCTTTTTGAGAGTACTTTTCTTCAACAGCACTCAGACACTTCAGGTTCTGGTCCATCAGTCTGATTTGCTCATCCATCTCTCGGCAACGGGACTCTGCCAGCTCAGCCCGCTCCTCTGTGCGTTCCAAGTCTCCCTCAATAATCACCAACTTACGAGCCACCTCTTTCATACTTCCGGTCTGCCTCTTCTGCAATGTGCTTAGCTTCTTTGAGTTGGATTTCCTGGAGTTCCATTTTTTCTTCATCTTTTAAGGCTCGGTTTTCAATAACCTTCATACCTCTCTCGCTCTCATCAGCAGCTTTCTCAGCTTCCTCCAGGTTTTGCAGGGCAGTGGCCAGGCGCTCTTGAGCTCGGTCCAGCTCCTCTTCAACCAGCTGGATCCTACGGTTCAAGGAGGCCACCTCAGCCTCAGCCTGTTCTCGGGCCCGCCTTTCCCCCTCCACTTCCCCCTGGAGGCGCTCGGCCCTCTCCTCTGCATCATCGGCCTGCTGCTGCAGAACCTGGATCTTGCGCTTCACCGCCTCGATGGTGGTGATCCCGGCCATGGTCCCCACCCAGCTCCTGCTTGCCTTCGGGTTCCTGCCTCCCCCGCTCGGCGTTGCAGCCGCTTCTCCGAGGTATGTTCCTTCTATTCCTGCTTTCTGGAGAGTTTTAATCATAAATGGGTGTTGAATTTTGTCAAAGGCTTTCTCTGCATCTATTGAGATAATCATATGGTTTTTATCTTTCAATTTGTTAATGTGGTGTATTACATTGATTGATTTGTGGATATTAAAGAATCCTTGCATTCCTGGGATAAAGCCCACTTAGTCATGGTGTATGATTTTTTTAATATGTTGTTGGAATTATATGTTGTTGGAATTAATATGTTGCTAGAATTTTGTTAAGGATTTTTGCATCTATGTTCATCAGTGATATTGGCCTGTAGTTTTCTTTTTTTGTGGCATCTTTGATGGTGGCCTCATAGAATGATTTTGGAAGTCTACCTTCTTCTGCAATTTTCTCGAAGAGTTTGAGTAAGATAGGTGTTAGCTCTTCTCTAAATTTTTGGTAGAATTCAGCTGTGAAGCCATCTGGTCCTGGGCTTTTGTTTGCTGGAAGATTTCTGATTACAGTTTCGATTTCCTTGCTTGTGATGGGTTTGTTAAGATCTTCTATTTCTTCCTGGTTCAGTTTTGGAAAGTTATACTTTTCTAAGAATTTGTCCATTTCTTCCAAGTTGTCCATTTTATTGGCATAGAGCTGCTGGTAGTAGTCTCTTATGATTCTTTGTATTTCAGAATTTTCTGTTGTGATTTCTCCATTTTCATTTCTAATTTTGTTAATTTGGTTCTTCTCCCTTTGTTTCTTAATGACTCTTGCTAATGGTTTGTCAATTTTGTTTATTTTTCAAAAAACCAACTTTTAGCTTTGTTGATTTTTGCTATGGTCTCTTTAGTTTCTTTTGCATTTATTTCTGCCCTAATTTTTAAGATTTCTTTCCTTCTACTAACCCTGGGGTTCTTCATTTCTTCCTTCTCTAGATGCTTTAGGTGTAGAGTTAGGTTATTTATTTGACTTTTTTCTTGTTTCTTGAGGTAAGCCTGTAATACTATGAACCTTCCCCTTAGCACTGCTTTTACAGTGTCCCATAGGTTTTGGGTTGTTGTGTTTTCATTTTCATTCATTTCTATGCATATTTTGATTTCTTCTATGATTTGTTGGTTATTCATAAGCATGTTATTTAGCCTCCATATGTTTGAATTTTTAACAATTTTTTTCCTGTAATTGAGATCTAATCTTACTGCACTGTGGTCAGAAAAGATGACTGGAATGATTTCAATTTTTTGAATTTACCAAGACTAGATTTATGGCACAGGATGTGATCTATTCTGGAGAAGGTTCCGTGTGCACCTGAGAAAAAGGTGAAGTTGATTGTTTTGGGGTGAAACGTCCTATAGATGTCAATTAGGTCTAGCTGGTCCATTGTGTCCTTTAGAGTTTGTGTTTCCTTGTTAATTTTCTGTTTAGTTGATCTATCCATAGTTGTGAGTGGGGTATTAAAGTGTCCCACTATTATTGTGTTACTATTAATTTCCTCTTTCATACTCGTTAGCGTTTGCCTTACATATTGCGGTGCTCCTATATTGGGTGCATATATATTTATAATTGTTATATCTTCTTCTTGGATTGATCCTTTGATCATTATGTAGTGTCCTTCTTTGTCTCTTTTTACAGCCTTTATTTGAAAGTCTATTTTATCTGATATGAGTATTGCGATTCCTGCTTTCTTTTGTTCTCCGTTTGCATGAAATATTTTTTTCCAGCCCTTCACTTTTAGTCTGTATGTGTCTCTTGTTTTGAGGTGGGTCTCTTGTAGACAGCATATATAGGGGTCTTGTTTTTGTATCCATTCAGCCAATCTTTGTCTTTTGCTTGGGGCATTCAACCTATTTACATTTAAGGTAATTATTGATAGGTATGGTCCCATTGCCATTTATTTTGTTGTTTTGGGTTCACGTTTATATAACCTTTCTGTATTTCCTGTCTAGAGAAGATCCTTTAGCATTTGTTGAAGAGCTGGTTTGGTGGTGCTGAATTCTCTCAGCTTTTGCTTGTCTGTAAAGCTTTTGAATTCTCCTTCATATCTGAATGAAATCCTTGCTGGGTACAGTAATCTAGGTTGTAGGTTATTCTCTTTCATTACTTTAAGTATGTCCTGCCATTCCCTTCTGGCCTGGAAGGTTTCTATTGATAGATCAGCTGTTATCCTTATGGGAATCCCCTTGTGTGTTATTTGTTGTTTCTCCCTTGCTGCTTTTAATATTTGTTCTTTGTATTTGATCTTTGTTAATTTGATTAATATGTGCCTTGGGGTGTTTGTCTTGGGTTTATCCTGTTTTGGACTCTCTGGGTTTCTTGGACTTGGGTGGCTATTTCCTTCCCCATTTTAGGGAAGTTTTCAGCTATTATCTCCTTGAGAATTTTCTCATGGCCTTTCTTTTTGTCTTCTTCTTCTGGGACTCCTATGATTCAAATGTTGGGGCATTTCACATTGTCCCAGAGGTCCCTGAGGTTGTCCTCATTTCTTTTGATTCTTTTTTCTTTTTTCCTCTCTGCTTCATTTATTTCCACCATTTTATCTTTTACCTCACTTATCCTATCTTCTGTCTCCGTTATTCTACTCTTGGTTCCCTCCAGAGTGTTTTTGATCTCATTTATTGCATTATTCATTTTTAATTGACTCTTTTTTATTTCTTCTAGGTCTTTATTAAACATTTCTTGCATCTTCTCAATCTTTGTCTCCAGGCTATTTATCTGTAACTCCATTTTGTTTTCAAGATTTTGGATCATTTTTATTATCATTATTCTAAATTCTTTTTCAGGTAGATTTCCTATCTCCTCCTCTTTTGTTTGACTTGGTGGGCATTTTTCATGTTCCTTTACCTGTTGGGTATTTCTCTGCCTTTTCATCTTGTTTAGATTGCTGTGTCTGGAGTGGGCTTTCTGTATTCTAGAGGTCTGTGGTTCCTTTTTATTGTGGAGGTTTCACCCAGTGGGTGGGGTTGGATGATTGGCTTGTCAAGGTTTCCTGGTTAGGGAAGCTTGCGTCGGTGTTCTGGTGCGTGGAACTGGATTTCTTCTCTCTGGAGTGCAATGGAGTGGCCAGTAATGAATTTTGCGATGGGTCTATGTGTTAGGTGTGACTTTGGGCAGCCTGTATGTTGACGCTCTGGGCTATATTCCTGCGTTGCTGGAGAATTTGTGTGGTATGTCTTGTTCTGAAATTTACTGGCTCTTGGGTGGTGGTTGGTTTCAGTGTAGGTATGGAGGCTTTTGGATGGTCTCTTATTCCTTAATGTTCCATGTATTCAGGAGTTTTCTGGTGTTCTCCGGTTTTGGGCTTAAGTCTCCTGCCTCTGGATTTCAGTTTTATTCTTCCAGTAGTCTCAAGACTTCTCCAACTATACAGCACTGATAATAAAACTTCTAGGTTAATGGTGAAAAGATTCTCCACCGTGAGGGACACCCAGAGAGGTTCACAGAGTTACATGAAAAAGAGGAGAGGGAGGAGGGAGATAGAGATGAGCAAGAGGAGAAAAAGGGGGACTCAAGAGGAGACAGATCTATGCAGTTGTCTGTTCCCAAAGTGTTCTCCGTAGCCCAGACACCCACAAAGATTCACAGAATTGGATTGGAAAGAGAAGGGGAAAAGAGGAAGTAGAGGTGTTCTGAGGTAGAAAACGGAGAGTCAAAAGTGGGAGAGAGTAATCAACACACTCCTGAATAAAAATGGGAACTGAATATTGGATTCTTAAATGTCCAAAATTTATATCACATACTGAAAAACAAAAATTAAAAATCTAGAGTAGAGGTTAGACTCTTAAAGATACAATATTAAAAACAAAAACACAAAAAATTTTAGATATATATATGAAGTTCGATTTAAAAATAGGGCTTTTTTTTTTTGCAAGGTTATAATGAAATGAAAATGAAAATTAAGTAGTACAGGAGTAATAGAGGACTTTAAAAGAAAATAAGAGAAAAAGAAAAAAAAAGAAAAGAAAAAAAAACAAGAAAAAAAATTTTTTTCCTAATTAAAAAAATCATAAAAATATATGAAAATGAAAGTTAAGGAGTAGTGGGGGAGTAATAGGGAATTTTAAAAGAAAATAAACGAGAAAAAAAAGAAAAGAAAAGAAAAAAAAAGTTTTTTAAAAAATTAACAACAACAACAAAAAAAGGTAAAAATATATCTAGGAATTTCTCTGGAGCTGTTGCGGTCAGTGTGGGTTCGGTTCAGTTTCAGATAGCTCCTCGTTCCAGCTTACACTTCTCGATATCTATAGGCCCCTTCCGGTGTAGTCGGTGTTCCCTACAGGGATTTTAATCTGTTGCACTGGTCCCTTCTGAAGCCGTTCCCTTGGTTTATTTGGCTTGTGTTTGCTGGTCTCTTTAGTGCCTAATTTCTACCCTGACACAGGCGGGCAGGGGTGGTCTCTAGTTCAGGTTCGCTAGTTCCGTCGCGCTGCGGGGAGGGAGGAGAACTGCTTTCCAGTCTACGCTGCTCAGGCTCCCGGCTGCTCTATATGGAGCGGGCCCTGCGTTGCGTGCGGTTCCAGTTTTCGGGTATTCCACAACAGCGCGGACTCGGTTGCGCCTGCGTTTTGTGCCTTCCCCGCCCGAGCAGCTCAGGCAGCCAGGAGCTTGACGGGCACACTCTCCCCGGGTGCGGTGCGCCTTCTCCCCTCCGCGGCCCCAGCCTCAGTTTCCACCCGCGCCGGTTGGGTGCATGTGTCTTGAGTTTAGCCGCGACCCTCCTGGTGGATGTCGACCATCCAGAATCTCAGGAAGTCTTTGGTTAGAAACTGGAGGCCTGTTTGCAGTGTGGTAGGGGATGCCGTCCCTGGGGCCAAGTTTGCCCCTTTCCCCTCCCACCTGCCTCCTGCCTCCCCGTGGGCTGGGCCGGTCTGCAGTAGGCTAGCTCTTCTCTGGACTTGCTTAGACCCTTTGTTTTGCCGGCAGTGTGTTTGGGCCGGTTAATTTTCTGTCTCTCTTTTGCTATCCCCACAGTTTAAGTTGGAATCGCACAAAAGCTCCCTCCAATTGCCCTCAGGGCACTCAGGCCCGGTCCTTACCCTAAGCAATTCCGCCCGCTCCTCTCTGTTCCGCCCCCACTTGCTGGTGGCGGATGCGGGCGTCTGGGGTACTTTTCTGCTGGGAGTTGCTTTTAGGCACGTAGTCTGTGGGTTTTATTTATTTTTCCCTCCCAGTTAGGTTGCCCTCCGAGATTTGAAAACTTCCCCCAGACCCGCCAGTGCGAGGGTTTCCTGGTGTTTGGAGACTTCCTCTATTAAGACTCCCTTCCCTGGACGGGTCTCCATCCCTAGCTCTTTTGTCTCTCTTTTTATCTTTTATATTTTGTCCTACCTCCTTTTGAAGACAATGGGCTGCTTTTCTGGGCTCCTGATGTCCTCAGCTAGCGATCAGAATTTGTTTTGTGAAGTTTGCTCTGCATTCAGTTGTTCTTTCAATGAATTTGTAGGGGAGAAAGTGGTCTCCCCGTCCTATTCCTCCGCCATCTTGGCTCCTCCCCTCAGCTCTGAGTCTTAACCACTGAACAGCCATGGAAGCACCCCCCCGCAAAAGCAGACTTTCAAAATGACATGTGAGTATCTTGGCAAATGCATTCCAAACAGGCAACCATAAAAAAGTAGAGAATTGTCAGAAACAACCCACATCAGGGTGCTGCAGACTAATTAAAGGCATTAAACAAATTAAGAAAGATTTACTCAAGAATAACTACTAAGTGGGAAGGTAAGAACAGTGGGAGATTATGGTGTTTTGGCTTCCCAGCTCCTACTGGCCAGGACAAGCTGTGAACATCACTGTGGGAGTGGGCTGACTTGGAGCTAAGTAACACCTCAGGCCACTGGGTGAATTGGGATACAGTAGAGATCTCTAGAGTGGAGTGTATGGGGAAGGCCAAGGTCTCCTCACTGAGGTTGAGATCCTGGTGGCAACAGATTGGTAACCTAGTCAGGACAGATGATCTCTCTCATGTCAAAGTCTGGAGCTGGTGCCTCAGTGTTGGAGAAGAGCCTCTATGTTGTTCCTTTAGTATTTGCACCCCTATGCACAGCATCACCTCATGGCCCAACATGGCTGCTGGTGTACCATCTATCGTCAGGAGGTCGAATGAAACAGCTGGCCCCACGTATCGTGAGGGTCTGAAAAGGCACATGTATGCACCAGGCTGCATGAGAACTGGAGAGACCCCATCGACCCACAAATGCAGGCAACCTGCCCCGCAGAAGGCCATGTGCACATGCTGAGAAAATGTAAGAGGGACGGGCAAGAAGCAAAGGCAGGTCTGGCTTGCAAACTGGCCCGAGCACAGGCCCCAGGCTTAAGCCTCACTGACTCAGGGGTTTGAGCACAACCTCCAAGCCATCGCTCGCTGGCCCCAAAGCTAGACTGAACAAGGGTGACTCCCAGAGGGAGTCAGCCTAAAAATAATGAAAAGCAGAAACTCAAAAATTGAGCAGAGACATCAGCAGCTGCAAATCGTGGGGGAGAGGGACCCTACAGAGTCGGCTCAGCATTTACTAAAACAAACAGAACACACACGCCACCATGACAACTCCCTGTTTGTGCGGGGAAAGAGGAATTCAGAGTTGCTAAAATCTATTATTTAAAAAAATGTCCATTTCTTAAAATCATTTATTTATTTATTTGGCTGTGTTGGATCATGGCTGAGGCATGTGGATCTTTCGTTGTGGCACCTGGATTCTCTAGCTGGGGTGTGTGGGCTGAGTTGTTCTGTGGTATATGGGATCTTAGTTCCCTGGCCAGGGATCGAACCCACATCCCCCTGCATTGCAAGGCAGGTTCTTAACCACTGCTCTTTTACTACCAGGGGTGTAGGTTCAATCCCTGGTCAGGGAGCTGGGGTCCCACAGGCCACACGGCACGGCCAAAAAAAAAAAGCCTGTTTTTGACAAAAAAAAAAAAAGGCGGCATGACATGCAAACAAACAGCTAAGTGTGACCTACCCTGAGGGAAAAAAAAGTAAGTCAATAGAAATGTTCTCTGAGGGAATCCAGATATTGTACTTCACAGCAGTATAAACATATTTATAAAACTAAAGTGAACGATGTGTGAAGAATTTAAGGCAAATATGATGACAGTGACTGACGGATACAAGATCTTAGGGAGCCACAAAAACTACAGAATAGGACCTAAAGCAAGTTCTGGCCTTGGAAGCTCTCCCTCACCACCTGGGTCCCAATGCCCTGGGGCTCCTGCGCCAGGACTCAGACTGCCAAGAGGCACCTGCCTGTTCACCTGTCTTCCTGACCCCACCGTGGCTGCAAGAGGGCAGGGACTGCTCTGTCTGCTCTCTGCATGACATGGTGGGCTTAAACAAACGATGGGGAAGGGCAGTGGTCAGAGACCCAGAAAGAGTCCAGGCTGCTGGTCAAGATGGTGTAGCATCCAGGCAAGGTTTTCCTTTGCTCGGGCCTCAGTGTCTTCCCCTGGGGAATGGGCCCCCTCCCAGGATCCGGTGACAGGAGGACAGGACTGCAGACACAGCGAGGCCCCTACCCAAGGCCCCAGGGCCTTGCGTCACTCGGGTAGGTGGCTGCAGACATTCGCCGCATGCCAGGAGCCGGGAATGAGTCAGCAGAAGCCGAGACTTTTGTTGGAGGCTTAATTTATTTCTGTTTGACATCCAGTGACACTGACATACCCTCGCCGGGCCTGTGGACCCCCGGCCCTGGCGAGTCTGACCTGTCCAATAAAATACAGTACGAGGAGTGGACGGCTACACACATGCATCCACAGCTTTAAACTACAGTGATTCCAAACTGCGGCCGAAACAGTACTGCCAGGGAAAGAAAAGAAAAACAGGTGTCATGTGTTCCCCAATTCATAATTCTTTTTTTTTTTTCTCCTTTTTTCTCGTTTTAAACAGTTAATGCTGTTACAAACGCTACTGATGCCAGGACAGGGCCAGACACAGACAGTCCTACATCTTCTCTGCCGTATAAATATGGAAGATTTTCGTTTATACAGTTTTTATCCCAAGTCTGAAACTACATCTGCTGCTACCCGTTACTGCTAAGGGATAACACCGTCTCGGCTCTGGAACGAGGGGCTCGGGGTCGAGACTCTGGAATGTCGGGACTCAGTCTTCCTCGCTGCCACTTCCTGAGCGGTCCTGGGAGGGGAACAGGAGGAGAGAGTGTGAGTCAGCCTGGCCCCTGGGAGCACCCAGACAGCATGTGGGATCTTAGTTCCCCAAGCAGGGATTGAACCTGTGCCCCTCTGCAGTGGAAGTGCAGAGTTTTAACCACTAGACCACCAGGGAAGTCCCCGACCTTTGCTTTAAATATACTTAATCACCAGTGCAGGCAGAACTGCCTTGTCCACAAAGGCGGGAGATGGGGTGGAGTGACCTTTGCCCTCAGTCCCTGCTGCCAAGGTCACACCCAAATGTCATTTTCTCCCAAGGATTGGCCCCTGCACCCTCACACTGACTCCTTCTTGGTTCCTGGGAAGCAGGTTGGGCCTTCTCGGCTCCGTCCCACTGCTGTCTGCCTGTTCCTGGGCCCCTGACTTGTGGGGTTTTGTTTGTTTGTTTTTGTGGCTGAGCCTCAAGGTCTGTGGCATTTTAGTTTCCTGACCAGGTATTAAACCCGGGCCCTCAGCCGTGAAAGTGCTGAGTCTTAACCACTGGATCACCACGGAATTCCTCTGACCTGAGGCTGTAAAACCACCTTGGCTATTCCTGAGCACGTACAATCTCTGCTCTTCTGTGTAAACATTTAAACACCTTAGCAAGGCCCACAGAAGGTGCTGCTGGACCCAGACTGGGCAGATGGGGGCTGGACAGCCCAGACTCTCCTGGCCACAAACAAGGCCACTGCTCCCCGTGCTCAGAATGCCATTAATGTCCCTGTAAGACCATGGACGCCAGCAGTCAGGGTTATTCTGAGGCACTGGGTTTTCCTGTTACTGCAAATAGCTCTACAAGAAGACTAATGAAGATGAAATGGTGCTTGTCAAGCTTTCTGCTGGGAGCCGGGGCCCATGAAATGCACTTGACCTCCCTGCTTTGTGGAAGTGGAGGCAGGCTCATAGGTGAGGCAAACGGCCCAGGTCCTGCAGCAGGGAAGGGCCATGCGTCCAGGTGGAAGCCAAAGGGCAAAACTTAAGACTGTACAGGCTCAGTGCTCCTGCAGTTCTCGCAGCTCCTTCCTGATGTGCCTGGGGGACCATCACCGAGGTACCACTCACAGCCCCGTTCATGGTGTCAGCTCCCCTGCTGATATGACTGTGGTCTATGGGACTTTCGCTTTCTGTTTGCTTTATTCAACCCACTACCACTGTCCAGAAACCCTCCGAGACAGGCCAGGACAGAGCCACAAGTAGAGGCCTGGGGTTCACAGTGTGGTGAGGATGCCACAGCACTGGGGGAGCGGGGACAGTCTCTCTGGGGGCATCTCCAATCTCCCCGCCTCCCACCCCCACACGGTTGGCCTGGGGGCCGGGCGGTGGGAACTGTGGGGGTCAGGTGGGGAGGAGGGATGCCCTGTCTGAACCCCAGACGCCCAGTGGCTCCAAGAGCACTGGTTCCAGGGCTGCATGGACTTGGGTTTGAGTCCCGTGCTCTGTAACACTGAGGCTCGTCTTTGGATTGGGGGTCTGAAAACATCCCACAGGTCTAGGACTTGGCAAGAAGAATGGATGCCCGGTGAGCTGCCCGCCCCAGGGTGCGGGGACCTCACCTCCTCCTGCTCCTCCTCGCTGTCATCGTCGCTCACCACCGGCTTGGCCCTGGACCCACGGCTCGGCCGCCGCCGGCCCCCCTTGAGCCGATCCTGGGCCTTCTCCTTCCGGCCGAGCTTGATCTTTACTTTGACTGAGCGAGCTGGGGAGGGGACCAGAAGGAAAAGAGACGTGAGCGCAGGGCCCCAGGGTGTCTCGGGGTGGATGTGACCTCCCACCCCCACCCCCAGGACTCACACTCTGACTCGGAGCCCTCCTCCTCGCCCTCCTCCTCCTCCTCGCTCTCCTCCCCTTCACTGTCGTCCTCCTTCTCGATCTTCTGCCGCACGCTGGTGAAGACCGACTGCAGGACGATGGAGTCTTCGTAGATCTGGGTGGACACATGTGGGGCTCAGGTCGGGGGCCCGATGGAGGGCTGCCTACCCACCCGCCTGGTCCCAGACGAGGGACAGGTCAATGAAGGTCAGGCGTTCCTCTTTTTTTAAGTATTTATTTATTTGGCTGCGCTGGGTCTTAGTTGTGGCATGTGGGATTTGGTTCTCTGACCAAGGATTGAACTTGAGTTCCCTGCATTGGGAGCACAGACTCTTAGCCACTGGACCACCAGGGAAGTCCCCCTCCCTCCCCTTGAAGAATCGCAGCAAGCGCCCTGTTAAAGGCTCTGAGAGGGCCTGCAGTTTAGTGTCAGAAACGCACGGCCTCACCGAAGCCAGCATTCCCTCCAACGTGTATGACTCTCAAGTCTCTTTGCCAGGAGGCACTCATCCCGGCAATGAGGAAACTGCCAGGCTGAGGCTGTGCGTGAGCCGCACCACAGGACAGGACATAGCCCGGAGCTGGACGTCCTTCCAAAAGCGGCCGAGTGACCCCCTACCAGGTTCCAGGGAGCTCCGGAGGGCCCAGGGCCCCGCGGAGGGCCAGGACCGAGTCTGTTTCTTCTATCTTGCTCATCTTTATCTTCCGCTACGTTTGCAGTAAAGAACACATACAGCCTCTGTAATGACTGATGTGCTCCGAGGTGTAGGGAACCTTTACCTGAACTGGTCCATTCACGGGCGTGGGGGAGTAGGGGCCCAGGACCACTCACCAGGGAGCCCTCCAGGTTGAAGGTCTGCGCATTCTGACACAGCAGCATCACGTCCTTCTCTAGGTCGTTGAGGCTGCGGTACTTGTGGTTGCGGATGCGCTCCTGTGGGCAGGAGAAGTGGCCTTATCTCAGGGCCCCCTGGCACCCAGGGTCGCAGCTGCCTAAGGCGAGGTCACAGTAGAACTCCCCGCTCTGTGCGGACTTGGGGATCCAGCTGTGGGTGATGGGGTCGCCTGCCACATCCTTAGGCCCCCAGTGGCCAATGACGAGGGCCCCTGGTGGGGGGGTCCCAAGGCCCAAGACCAAGAACCCCTGCTCCCACGTCCCATGGCTCTAAGCACTCAACTCAGCTCGGGGTTACCTTTATCTTCTTGAAGTCCACAGGCTTGCGGATGAGCTCATAGTATTCAGGCAGCTCCTTGCGGGATGGCAGCTGAATGAACACCTCGCTGAGCTGGCGTCCACTGCTGCTGTAAGGAGAGACGTGGCTGCGTCACTCGCAGGCCGTGTTTGCCGGGGAGCCCCCACCTCTGCCTGACACCCTCCCCCCAACAACCACCCCCCTGCCCCGGGCGCTGAAGGACAGAGACGGTGAGAAATTTTAAAGTCCACTTGGGAGTCATTTCCTGTATGTGAGCTGACTCGTGAGTTCTGGAACATTCCCGAGGGGCAGCCAAGCAGAGAGGTCTGCTGTTGCATCTGTATGGAGGCTCTGAACTCACCCACCTCCCCCCACCCCAGCCCTGGAGGAAACAGCATCACGTGCCACATGCAGCAAGAGCCTTGGCACCTGTAAGAGGGAGAACACTGTTTATTTCCATATGACCCAGAAATCAGTTTGCTCGTGTTGGGAGTGTTAAGTGCCAGTGTTTTCAGAGATGGGTTTTCCAAGCATGTCGTGCCTCTCCCAGATGGCACTCATGAGCAGTGAACTTCACAGAACCAGGCAAAAACCCAAGGACAAACGCCCCCTGACAAGATGCTAATGGGCGACTAGAGCTGTTTCCTAGTTCTTTCCACTAAGCAGAGCTGGTTTTGTACCAGGGAGCAGAGGAAAGGTGAGCTGTGAATGGCCGTGAAATGAGGAACCCAAGCACTGGGCTCCGAGGCGACAACCCCATGGGGGCCTGAACAAGGAATGGCGTGAACCGACAGACACCCACCCCCAGCATCCCTTCAGCCTCCGGAATGGGGATCCTGTCCCCCAGAGAGACAGTAGCAGAGGCCCTGCGTGGCCAACCAGGGGGCTGGGGACATGGTCACCCTCCTTTCCCACTCTCCCCACCCGGGGCCCCATGTGCTCTGGCTGTGGGTTCATTCAGGTCCCCCTCGCTGCCCGGGCTCCTCCTGGCTGCTTCGCAACTCAGGCTCCTCCAGGGCAGGTCTGAGATGGTGGATTTGGTCTCAGGGGTACCAGGAGGCGGAGTACCTCTGGCCTTGCGTCAGCACTGCTGCTTTCCTGGTCTTTTCAGGACAGTTCTCATGGAAGAGGGTGGCAGCCTGTCCATCTATCTGCACGTCCTGAACACATCTCATCCTTGTTTTTGGTTTACCAGCCAGGAAGACAGCAGTGATGACCTGAATGCTTCTCAGGTTTTGTCGCCAGATGACCCATCTCACAGCGGAATTAGGGAGCAGCTTGGCCAGGACTGCCTCACCCCCGAGGCTGCTGCCATTTGTCCCTGGTCCCCCTCTCACACTCGGGGAAATACGGGGGCTGGGATCCAGGCCTTGTACATTACTGGCCTCGGACAACTACCATCTCTGGGCCAGACACACAATACACATGTTCTCAATGGACTGTTATTCCAACTGTAATGAGGAAACCGGTGAGAAGCTCAGCCAGCCCAGCCTGAACACCATCCATGCTGGTCTTGGCCTCCCTGCCCAGCGTGAAGTGGGGTCACCGGTGCTCAACAAGGGCCAGCTCCCTCTTTCCTCTGGGCTGAGTTCTCAGCCACCTCCTGCCGTGTGTGCGGCTGGCAGGTCACAGACTGGGGGCGGGGAGGGGAGGCCAGCTCCAGGCCACTGTCCCGGCCCAAGGGCCCCTCCCCAGGGGCACAGGTGTCCTCTCTCTCATGAACAGGCGGGTGGGTGGTTTGGCCACAGGAGAGCTGGAATTTGTTCACATAAATTCCAAAAAAAACATGAGAATAGGCATGACATACGCTGAGGTCTCTACTTCAGACAAGTGGACTCAGGGTGATGGGAGACAAGCCAGCCCCGCTCACTCTTGGAAACTGGTTTATGATGTTCCAGCAGAGCCCAGACCTGCGCCCCCGACTCCTCGACCCGCACAGACCCTGTTCCTCCCCATGGAACCTTCTGAGCAAAGGGCCCTCAGTTACATCTCGATCGCGGTGTCATTCTACACTTCTAAGCAGGAAATGGGCCTGCAGGTGTGAAGTAACTCAAGTGCCTGGCTCAGCAGTGGATGCTGGTAATTTCGGCATTACTTCACTTTTTTTTAAGAAACGCCAGTTTGGGGACTTCCCTGATGGTCCAGTGGCTAAGACTCTGATCTCCCAATGCAGGGGGGCCGGGTTCGATCCCTGGTCAGGCAACTAGATCCCCACATGCCGCAACTAAAGATCTTGTGTGTTGCAATGCAGAGTTAATGCAGCCAAGTTGAATAAACAAATAAGTTAATTAAAAAAGAAAACAACGAAAAAACGAAACGCCAGTTTTAAATCCACTAAATTCATTCTGCAGCTCACTAACGGGCATGCATGTGGTGCTAAGGCAATGTACCTGCCTGTAGCATCACCCAGGTGACCTGGCCTCAGGGTACATGGGGCCCTTCAGGGAACTTAGGAAGGGGGACTCTAGCGCCACTACACAGAAGAACATTTCATAGTAAAAACCCTCTCACAAATCTCTGGGGGAACCTTTTCCCTAAGGAATGAAGGCCGACCTGGCCTGAAAACTGTTGTCTGGTGCGTTGTGCTGAGCACGGATGGCCGGGGACTGGTCACGTGAGAGGGAGGGGCACGGTGCCAGGGCCACAGGGACTCTGAAAACCATCCTGACAATGCAGACCTCTTGGAAAGCTCCTGCTGTAAAACTCTGGTTGCCAAAGTGCTGAGAGATCCTCTTTTGTCTTCAGAAATCCCCTGGAGAGTCCCTCACCCCCACCCCCTATGCACTGGGGCTGCGAGCCTTCCAGGTTTGCTCACCAAGTCCCTCCTTGCTGGGACCAGAATCCACGGTGCTCTGGGGGCTGTTTGGCTCTCCAGGATAGGCGGCCCATCTGATATCAGTGTCTCTCTCTACCTGCTCAGTCGCCTCAGAATCACCCAAACGGCTGCTCCCCCCGGGAACCCTGGCTCCCGCCCTTGCCTCAATATAAACATCACCTCCACGACACCTAGTAATAAAAATGGATGACTGAGGTGGAAGACAGAAAGGCAGGGGACTTCCCTGGTGATCCAGTGGCTAAGACTCCATGCTCCCAATGCTGGGGGGTGGGGGGTGGTGCACCCAGGGTTCAATCCCTGGTCAGGGAGCTACAACCCACATGCTACAGCTAAGAGTTTGTATGCCACAAGTGAGATCTGGTGCAGCCAAATAAGCAAATAAATATTAAAGAAAAAAGACAAAGGCACAGATCTTCATTTACTCACTCCTGTGAGTCTCCCCAGCCTCCAGGACTTGGCTGAGCCTGGCCTGCTTTTGAACTTCAGGCCATGAGACCCCACAGGCTGCGCCCGCAGGCGTGGCCGCCCCCCTGCACGGCCCCGTGAGGCCTGCTCTTGTCGGCCCTTGTGCTGCGCCACATGCCCCATGGTGGGCACGTGCACAGTCCACTTGTCCCCCTGCTGGTGACAGGAACCTGGGCTATGGTCTGAGATATATGGTGAGCAGCCGCAGACGCTGTGTCCCAGCTCTTGGCCTGCATTACGTGGGAAGGTACCTGGGGGCTGGGGGACCTGGTCCTGGAGGCAGGGGCACTCAGTTTTGGTAGCAACTGAGCCCACGTTTGCTCCTCCAGCTGCGAGTTAGCCATCTACCGGCATCTCTTGTTGTTTTCCCATCCAAGTACTAACCAGGCCCAACCCTGCTTAGCTTCTGAGATCAGACGAGCTCATGTGCACTCAGGGTGGGATGGCCATAGACTTTCCTGTGGTTTTAATTCATGTCTCCTTGCTGAGCAGCGAAGCTGGGCACATCATCACAGGTATACTGGTCATGTGATGACCTCTCCCAGGCAGTCCTTGTTTTCTGACTTTTTTCTCCTGGGGAATCCTGTGTAGGGCACATTTATTGTAAACACCTGCTCCAGTTCATGGCATATCTTTAAAAAAAAAAATATTTGGCTGCTCTGGGTCTTAGCTTGGCATGCAGGATCTTTAGTTGTGGCGTGTGGGATCTAGTTCCCCAACCAGGGATTGAACCCTGGGCCCCTGCCTTGGAAGCACGGAGTCACAGCCACTGGACCACCAGGGAGGTCCCCCACGGTGTGTCTTCTTACTCCTTTGATGGTGTCTTTTGACGAAGGGGCCTTAGTTTTAATCTGAGTCCAATTTACCAATATTTCCTTTTATACCTGGTATTTTTTGTCTTGTGAAAAAAATCTTTGTCTACCCCAAGGTCACTATTGGTCACCCCAAGAACTATTCTATTTCCTTCTTGAAGACTTTGCTATTTTTCTTTTTACCATGCCACATGGCATGCAGGATCTTAGTTCCTTGACCAGGGATTGAACCCAAGCCCCCTGCAGTGGAAGCACGGAGTCTTAACCACTGGACCACCAGGGAAGTCCCCGGAAGCTTTGCTGCTTTAATCTGTTCATGTTATTAGGCATGAGGCCGGTTACCCTGGTTAGTTTTTGTCCACAGCAACTATCATCTTCCCTACCATATCTTGCCTGGCTTTACTAGCTGGAACACAAGCCACGAGGGCAGAGGCCTTGCCTGTTTTATTTGCTACTCTATCTTTTGCACCAGGAATAAAGTCTGGTACACAATAGGTGCTCAATATACATTTTTTAAATGAAGAAATGGCTCAGGGTGAAAGTCCTAGGGTCAAGGAGCAGGGTGCAAACTCAGGTTTCAGCAGGGCCGTCTCTGAGCAAGGATGCCCCACTGCCCTGCCCCTGCATGGTCATTCATATAGCACCTGTTCCAGGAAGGACCCTGGCAGCAATATCAGGAATCCCACTGCCCAGAGAGCATGCTGCTGTGAGGACTGGCTCTAAAGAAGTTTCTGCAGGCAGAGCTGCTTGGAACTCCATCTCTGCTCCTGCTCTGTGTCCCCTGGTAGTGGAGGGGAAGGGAGTGAAGGAGCCTGGGAGAATCCCGAGGCTGTCAGGATCCTCCCATGACCCCAGTTCAGACACAAAGAACGGACCCGCCCACCACGGCCCTCAGGCCCCCAGCCTGGCCTGTCACCTGCTTTGGCAGCAATGGTGGCTGCTGTTACATACGACAATGAAATTAATCTCCTGCTTCTAGACGTGAGCTCCCAC